TCGGCTCTTAAGGGGAAACTCTTTTGTCTATGATTTCCCCTTAACGTCGCTTTAGTTTCCCCTTAGCGACACTACTTTCGCCTTATGGTACTGTTTTTAACCACTTCATTGTTTTAGTTTCCCCCTATAGATATATGTATATATAAATGAAAAAATAAAAAACAACATTTATTATAATGTAATTTTATTAACCCTCCCTTGCGTAAGCCTAGAAGGCTAACAATATGTTGGACTCAACCTATTACAAGTCTTTTTGTCAGATTCCAAAGTGTTCAATAACGAACAAAACTCGTCAGGAAGCTGCATTAGATGCGCTGTGGAGTGTGTGATGGCGGTAGAATACAAGTGTTTTAAATATGGTGGAGAGTCCCTCTATATTACTTGCAGTAACAGTGGAAATGTTGATACCTTTAAGTTTGTTTGGAATGGGCCTTTCCACTATGTCCCTTGGATATTGTTGCTAAGGTCTCATCAAGAGTAAACGTTCATGTGTTTATCGGGCATGCGCTTTTGTTGTGCCCTGTTCTGATTGATTGGGTGCCCAGTTTGATCATCCAAAAATGCCAATTATTAAAATTAGATTATGTGTCCTTTGTATTTTGTTTCAGCAAACAAACCGATGAATTCTTGAATAATGTGTGTCGTTAGTTTAATATGAATTCGTTCATTATTTGTAACTGAAGCCTTAAAGCGGATCGTCTTTATAATTTCAATCTAAGCAATATGAATTAATGAAATTGAATATAAATTCAACGGTATATTGGTAAAATGATTTTGTATATTGGAAAAACGTAAACGTAAAATGAAATTATTTTGTACAAGAAAATTGAGCTTCAGAAAAAAGAAAACTTCAATATAGAAAGGATATTGGTGAACTCGTTGATAACAATTTGAAGTATAAAGAAAAATATTTCTACTTTGTAAAAACCATCAGAACTGCTAATTACAATTATTCGGACAGAACACTAGCAAAACAATGGCTCGAGTCCTGTTAAAACTGTAGGACTCAAAAATTCCATCGGGATTGAACAGTTCAACAAAAAAAAAAATACGAGCCGGTAAGAGCGCATTATATAAAATCAGACTAATTTTTAGATATTTCGAAAGCCAATAAAATATCGATTGGTAGTATAATTTATATAAATTAAATGATTAATTCTATGCAGTGTTAGAGCCCTTGGAATATAATACGGCAAAAAGCAAGAGTTTACGTTGTAAAGCACTCGTGTATCTGCCGATTGTTTATAACACCTAGTGTACTTCTGATTATCATAGTCTTGTATGTAATATAATTGCAAACATTTTTTTTAGCTTATATAACTTTATTGAATTGCTATAAGAATTTTTGGAGGCAAACCACCCCCTCCCCTATAAAAAAAAAAGCAGCTATTTTTTATCGTTTTTCTTTATCCACAGATACGCGTAGCGTTAATTTACTTAAAATAAACCATATTTAAAAACATAGAGCCAAAAAAAAAAATAATAATAATGGTGTGGTTTTCAATATTTCATTGTATATTACTAGTAATACTAGTAGTAGCCTAATATTTATTAATTTTTCATAATCATAATCAAATGAAATATACAAAGACTTTGATTCACTTTTAAATTATAAACAATAGTAATAATGGGACAAAGTTCAACGTCCAAAATGGAATGTTCCCTCAGAAAGGCCTGTATAAACTTGGATTTCTAATTTAATAATATAAAGATTCAGATTAATACCGTATGCGGAGCAGCAGGGGTGGCGCCAAGATTTGCCAGACGGTAGAGGGGGCGAGGTCCCCGACTGGGGGATGCCCAGAGGAAGGTTCAGATTTCCGACAAAAGCAAAGTTTCGAAAGTGGTCCTGGGGCGAAGCCCCCGAAACTGCAGACAATTTAGGGGTTTCAAGGCTTATTTGATCGATTTTAGAGTCTATATGTAGAAAATCCATATAATGTTATTTTTTTTAAATGAATAATTGTGCTTTTTCTCCCCGACGAGGGGGGCCAGCTTTCCCCAACGGTGGCTATAGCCACCTCGGCGGAGCAGTTAACAGAAAACAGGGTATCATATGAAGAATCATAATATACAGTTTGCATAAAATTCAAACTACACCATATATTAGCTTATGGGATTTTCTTTCAATTTTTTTTCAATTTACACTGCATAAAATAAAAAAATTAAAATATCGAAAATTGTCACCAAATGTGTCATACCTAGAATGGTAATATTCTATTTCAGAGTTGTGTATCGATCCTCTTGGTGTTGAAGATGGGACTATTCCCGATGAACAGCTATCCGCTTCAAGTGAAAGTTCTAATAGGTGTGGGGCACATCATGGACGACTGAACACAGAAGCAGAAGCAGGAGCATGGTGTTCAAAAACCAGCGACCAATACCAGTGGATTCAAGTTGACCTCGGTAAACTGCATAAGGTACAAGGAGTAATCACACAAGGCCGCAACGAACATTCCTTACAATGGGTGACGTCTTATGAAATTTTTTACAGTGTCGATGGTAACCTGTTTCAACCAATCAGGAAATCAGATTGTCAAGTAACTGTAAGTGTCAATAAAAGTGTTTTTCCAAATATATTTACATATATTATTTTTTTCTTTTTTATTGAGAGTAATTACTTGTATGTTATATCAAAATAATATCCTAAAAATTAAAATTTGAAAAGTAACAAGAAAATAAATAAATAAATAAATAAATAGATAGCTAGATAGATAGATAGATAGATAGACAGACCGACAGACAGACAGACAGACAGACAGACAGACAGACAAACAAACAAACAAACAAACAAATAAATAAATAAATAAATAAATAAAATAATAATATTGTGACATTTATATCTGCTATTTCGTTTTCTTTTGTACAGTATATAATGTTTTATATTTGTCATTCTGTTTTTTTGCAAGTTGTCTGTTACAGGTTTTGGGAAATATCGTGTATTCAAAAATGTCTATATATTTGAAGACAAATATAGTTTCTTGGATCTTGTATTTGTTTAGAACTTAAAGTTTACCTTTAGATTATGTGATAAAATTTTGTTGGAAAACATTTTCTCTGAACCTTTCTTCGAGCAATTTGTCCGTATTCATCCATCTGACTAGTAAACATACAGATTTATATAAGGCCTGTTATCATCATATATATATATATATATATATATATATATAATTTTTTTTTTTTTTTTTTTTTTTTTTTTTTTTTTTTATTTAGTTGCTCCGATGGTTTTGTTTTATACTATTTCATTTTTATGGGGTAGGGCTCCTGACAATGGGAACCCTGAACCTTAAGGCCCCGGTTCTTCGAAGCGCATGCTGAACCACAGGTAGTTACACCTCTGGTTATATTCGAATAATGTGCTGAGAACGCAATGTTAATCATAAGATTATGTGATATTTATAGAGGTTTGTTGGAAATTCAGATCAAGACACTAACGTGACAAACATATTCCCTGACCCTGTCTACGCCCAATTCGTCCGTATTCATCCAGTTGACTGGCATCGCCATATAAGTTTACGATTTGAGGTTCTTGGATGCTCAAAAGGTAAATAAAAATAATATACCAATTAGATTTAAATTAACAATTGAGTAGTAATAATGGTAATGACAATGATAATGATAATAAATGTCTGTTTATATTTCCATAGAAAACAATAAAAAGCTAAAAATATTAAATTGTTCATAAATATACATAATATAAAAATAAGAGAAGTATTTAACACTGGCACGATTCTATAACGAATTATTGTGTATGCGATAAAACACATTTAACAAATCAATTCAAATAATGTCATATTCATGGAAAAACGATACAATCGTCGTTACTACATCGGTTTTATCGTCTTTCCATAATTATGGCGCCATTTCAACATTTGTCATAATATTTTGTTATTATAATTACGATAAATCGTTATCGAATCGTCCTAGTGTAAAGACTCTCATATTTCTTTTGTTTTCTATGAACAATTGCTTTTTAGCATTTTATCGTTATCGTTGCATGTATAAACAGGTCTTAATGACAACTATTGCATTATATTGTGATTATAATTTACGGTAAATGATGTTAAAATTATTGATCATGAACACTAATGAATTATTAAAATGAAAAAGTATTATTCAAATGTTAATATGTCTTAAACGTTTATTACAATATATTCAATTGTCTTTCGTCTGAATCACAGCTTGTTTTGGTAATCAGACGTTAAGAATTAGTTTTAAAAAATCGATATGAAGAAGACAGTCTTACAGTATAAGTAGGCCTAATTGTATCTACTATACCACTGTAAATTTGTTTTGTGTAGGTCCAGTGTGCTCAGAGTTGGGTGGACGCTCCACTTATTACAAGTCTTTTCTTCGCAATCCACAATGTTCTGTAACGACCAAAAACTCGAAAAGAAGTTGCATTAGATGCGCTGTGAAATGCATGAGGGCGCTAGGATGCAAGTATTTTAAGTACGATGGAGAATGCCACAATTATACCTGCAGTAACAATGACTATTTTGTTGCCTTTCAGTATAATGGTTAAAATTGGCTTTTCCCTTGGATACTGTTGCTAGGATTTGAAAGATTTAATCGTACGCGTGTTCATGGATATACGTATATCTGCCTTGTCCTTATTAGTCAGTCGCTAACTTTGATCATTCCAGAAATGTTTATTAAATTTCTTAGATAATGCATGCTTTGTATTTGTTGCAACAATCATCATTCTTTAAAAACCGATGAAGTCTTGACTAAATGAAACTGTGTGTGTAGTAATTTTAGTACAGATTTGTTCATTATTTTTATTGGATCTCATAAAGTGGTTCGTGTTTGTAATTTGTACTGGATGATTTTGGTATTAAGCAAAAGTATAGGACTTTCTTAGTCAGAGCTAACGCTTTATGTAGGACATCTTCAAAGTGTTCCGCAGAAATTAAATGTTTATTATTTAGGCCATAATTATTGCGTAAACGGTTCCTCTATGACTATGTAAATTAATTTAGTGACGCTCTATCAGCAGTACTTAGTCATAATTACCTTTGAGTCATTAGAAAAGAACTACTAATATTTATTTAATGTTGGAGCCTGTGACTTTATTCAATAACATCCCTTCATGCTATGAAGTTTGCATAAAATATACACAATTTTGTGAGCAGATTTTGTGCTGGAAACTGTATAATCAAATCCATTGTTCACTGTGCTCTTCCTCCCTCATTAATTGGCGATGGTGTAAACTAATTTATTTGTACTGTAATTTGAAATTTTCTTGTTAATTGTGGGGAATATAAAGTATACATATGCCCTCTTCTATTAATTTATAGGCCTACTTTTTTATATAATGCTATTTATATATGCACTAAAGCGATAAATGGATAATTTTATTCTTAGTAATATGTATTTTATTCAACATAGTAACGGTTTGAATGAATGTATTTAATGTAGATGTAATTGAAGTTTTTTGTAAATTGAAAATGTAATTTTTTTAATATAAACGTGAAAATAGAATTATTTTGCAAAACATAACATGTCATAGATTACAATGCTATGCTCCGGCACTTAAATATTGTGGCTAAGGTTCAACAAAACGACAACATGAAACATGCAAAAACACGTGCGTTTATTGACAACGTCGTGTTTGTAAGGCACGTTCGTATTCCTGGCCCTAATTGGTCGGTTGGTAAGAATAGGTTACATTCCGGAAATGTCCATTTTGTAAACAATAGAATTATTATAATGTTGGTGTAGGTATACTTGGTGAAGAGCAAGTAGGATTTAGAAACGGTTACTCCACTAATGATAATATATTTGTACTGCGTTCTATAATTGAATTATACTTAAAGAAACATAAGTGGTTGTATTGCACTTTTATCTATTACAGCTTAGTGTTTGACCTGGTCGACCGATTTTCTCTATAGAGTAAACTAATATCATGTTATAAAGTCATTAATGTCATTTATAATTTGTCTGCTAACACGAAGTCATGTGTCAAACAGATTGGTGTGATATCCGCTTTTATTTGATATATCTTAATGACTTCGATTTTTTTTTATTAGTCGTTATTATAAAAGTTTGGATCACTTAGCTATTGAATTTAATAATGTCTTAAGTGGAAACAATATAGAATATAATGTTGGTGTAGAGCTTGGTGAAGAGCAAGTAGGATTTATTGACGGTTACTCCACAAATGATAATAGTAATATTTGTAATAGTAATTAATAGTAGAGAAGAGAATGTTAACTTTTTGGATGTGTGTCATTGATTATGAACGAAGTAAACTATCAAACATTACATTTAAGTGTGATCTCATATTTTAACAATCATTAATAACATTATCAGATAAAAAAAAAATGATCTTTGTAGGTGTGAGGATCACGCTACAAATTGTACTCTGTGTAATCGAAATGATACCGGAGATAATTCCATTTTTTATTCGTTTGCCCTACACTAAGGATGTATTAAAATTATTATTACATTAGACCTAACCAAAATAAAATACACCAATTATTTAATACCAGATCAAAAAACAACTGTCGAAACTTGCTCAATATATTCACAAGATATCGTGTTTGTTTGGCTAAAATTTTGTTTTTACTTAGCCTTATTATTGTTATTGTTAACTTCATTAGTCATGCAGTGTAAGCTGACCGATTATTTTGTATGTTCACATGAGAAAGAATGTTCTCTAATACACCAAAATAGGTCGAATAAGAAATAAAGTTTTTGTCATTTGTCACTGTCATCTATCTTGTTGATAGTTATTTAAAATTTTGAAGAGCATGTAAATAATATTTATAATTGGTAAAACAGGAAGCATTGAAATTACATAGAAACATCTCAAACCGAACATCAAAAGTTATAACCCCGCGGTACCACCGTTTTCTATTACATAATCAACTGATAAACAAGTTACAACTAATTATGATGAAGTAAACTGTCCCGTTGGAGGCATTTTATTACACAATGACTTTTATAGGACTTTATTCGTTGAAAAGCTACAGGGTAGCCTACGATGTTCCATCATGTCCTTATTTAACACTGTATATGTACCTTTGATGATTTATATTATATTTATTCAGCAGTGTTAACGGCTAACTTTCTTCAATATCATATACAATATACGGCAGTATTTATTTCTAGCCGTTTCTCCAGATATTTATCTGGCCGAACGCCCTCTTGAGGCGCACCATTGTGTAATACAATGTTGCCGACAGTTATTTGGACCTGTTCAACCATGAAGCCTTCGTGGTTTAGTGGTTATGACGCTCGCCTTGTCAGCGAGAGGTCGCAGGTTCGAATCCCGTCGGAGGAATTTTATTACACAATGACTTTTATAGGACTTTATTCGTTAAAAAGCTACAGGGTAGTCTACGATGTTCCATCATGTCCTTATTTAACACTGTATATGTACCGTTGATGATTTATTTTATATTTATTCAGCAGTATTAACGGCTAACTTTCTTCAATATCATATACAATATACGACAGTATTTATTTCTAGCCGTTTCTCCAGATAATTAATCTGGCCGAACGCCCTCTTGAGGCGCACCATTGTGTAATACAATGTTGCCGACGGTTATTTGGACCTATTCAAGCATGAAGCCTTCGTGGTCTAGTGGTTATGACGCTCGCCTTGTCAGCGAGAGGTCGCAGGTTCGAATCCCGTCGGAGGCATTTTATTACACAATGACTTTTATAGGAATTTATTCGTTGAAAAGCTACAGGGTAGCCCACGATGTTCCATCATGTCCTTATTTAACACTGTATTTGTACCTTCGATGATTTATATTATATTTATTCAGCAATGTTAACGGCTGACTTTCTTCAATATATATACATATATATATGATACTGAAGGATGTTAGCCGTTAACACTGTCGGATAAATATAATATAAATCACCAAAGATACATATACAGTGTTTAATAGGGACATGATTGAACATCGTAGTCTACCCATGGTGAACAAATATGATAAAATAGTTAAAATAAAATAAATCAGTGAAAACTATTTTTTATACTTCCATCTGGTTTTGATCATTTTAAATGAGCTATTTAATTTTTTAATTGAGCAAAGAGCCTTACAGTAACATTACGTAACTTTAATAACTTAAAATAATATTTTATGTTATTAATGTTTTTAAATAATAATAATAATAATAATAATAATAATAGTAATAATAATAATAATAATAATAATAATACTAATAATAATAATAATAATAATAATAGTGTTTTCATGATAATAATGTTTTAGATAATTATAATTATAATAATAATGATAATTATAATAATAAGGCAGGCCTACCCTAGGCCTAGGCTAGATAGAGAACTATTCTAAGGATTTAGTTACTCTTCATGCAAGCTGAAATCCCCATCATCCTGATCATTAACTGTTTCAGTGGCAATAAGACGATTGGTCAAAGATCTTATAAACACAAAATAGCGTTCTCCGCGATTTACGCGTAACAAATAGAAGCGTCGGTCAAGGTTCAAAAGTTTCCAATTTAGCAAGAGGGCGCTATTCATGCGCTATTATACCAAAGAGAAAAAGTAATCAGTTTTGGAAGAGGGCGTCCTATCTGTTGCCATGGATCTGAGATGGTTCCTGTTCTGCTGTTCACAGGATGGATACCCTAAAGGTAAAGTCGCTCGCTGTACGGTATGGTCAGAGCGGTCAAGGGTCAATAGTTTCCAATTTAGCAAGAGGGCGCCATTCATGCCTTATTACAGAATTTGCACGCGTAAATCGCGGAGAACGCTATCTTGTGTTTATAAGATCTTTGCGATTGGTGGATGCATTTAGCTACTTGACGCCAACATTAGCTATCATTATTTTGTTGCTATCTTCAATGACCATTTAATGCAGTTTTTATTCCAAATTCCATCTGATAATAATCAACAATAAAATCTACAGTACTTGGATTGTAATTATGTATGATAAAAAACGCCAACTGTATTTATTATTAATTATCACTGAATTGTATTTATAGTTGTTGCTGCTATGTATACCTTCAGGTACTCGTACGTTCATGTATCAATGTCTCAGTTTAGTCAAATTAACTGTTCTGAGTTATAATATTCCTGCTATATTTTATTTATCATTAGTTTAATGCTGACTGGTTAAATTTTTTCAAGAACTCTCCTCTTTACACTCTAAAACACAACATTAACATCAGGACAAGCATTTGTGAGAAAACTTCATTAAAATTTTGTTCAACACTATAAATATTTGTACAATATACTTTACTTAAAACAAACATTTCATTTGCACTAATATCAACTGAAAATATCTAGATGTTTTTAAACACTGGAACATATCTAAGGACCTTATGACGAGGTGTCAGATTTCCCCGACAAAAGCAAAGTGGGCATGGTCGAGCTTCGATAACAAGGTTCCGAAAGTTGTGCTGGGGGAGAAGGCTTCGAACATTTTGACAATTTAGGGGTTTCAAATGCTTATTTAATCGATTTTATAGTCTACTAATATGTAAAAAATACATATAATGTTTTTTTCTCATCACCGATATTTTTCTCCCCGATGGTGGGGGCGGGGAGCTCTCCCCGACAGTGGGGGGGGGGTGGCCCTCCTCCCTCCCCCCGCTGGCACCATCCTTGTTGAATACTCTTGATTTGTGCCTTTGTTGCCTGAATTTCTGATTGTGTCCCCTGGATACATGAGTGTGTAGATGGACATACTAGTGAAGTGGGATATTGACAAGCTCCTTTTGCATCTTATAAACCGTACCTAGTGGTCGACGTCGTCTTCTGGTTTGTAATGTGTTCCCAGTACAATTCGTCAAGATGCGGGTAACAGTGCCTTCTTCTCTGGAGTATTCTTCTTTACAAAAATGAGCTGCTTGGCGCTGGAATTGTTTCAACGACTTATTATTGTTTATAATGGATGAATCCTATACACTTGAAGCAAACTCTAGAAGAGGTCAGACCATACTCTGTAAGCGGTTACCTTCATATCTTCGCCAAATCTCCGGCGATTTCCTGATGACATTTTGAACTCACTAAATTTCCTAAGTCACATTTACGTTAGAAAAAGAATGAAGCAAGTTTCTTTAGTTGTCTTAAATTTGTACTGAGATAATAATTTTCTTATATTATAATGCAATAATGAAGTAGAGATGAAGTTTGTATAAACTTTGTAGTAAATAATTAATTTAGTTTCATGTATTTGGTAATTACTGCATTATGTGAAAATAGTTAGATCTTGTTATTCCAAGATTCAATGTTAGTATTGATATAAGTTAAGTTGCCATGAATGGAAACGTCATTGAGATTTTTGTCAGAACATTGAAAACATGTTTATGTTTAAATTAAAGGTTAAATAATGGCTTTCGAGTAATTAAGTTTACATCAGATTAAACGATAAACATCATCTTTAGTACTTTAATTTATAGCATTGTGTACCGATATAATGTAGAAATATTGTATTAGAATGTCTTTCAATTAATTAAATTGGTATAAATTTAAACTTTATCACCTTCAATCAGTAACTTTAAAATTAAAATATTTGTAAGATTAAAATATTATAGTGAATATAAATTATATAGTATAGATCGGTTTTATATTGAATTTTAATGGAAATAAGCCTTCAGGCTTTATTGGGGTTTTGGTGGCCTATCATTTTCTTTTCTTTACCAATGTTTCGATGTAATTGTTTCAGCAAATATTTTCCCAATAAAGTCAAATCAAATCAATAAATATGTGTGGATATTGTTTGTGTTGGAACCAGTAGTAAGAACCTTTACCAAAATACTCATGGAACCAATGGTATGAATGATATCTTTTTTTGCTGTATATAACCGATATGAGTGTTACATTGTTAAAGTAAAAAGCATGTAAACGATATACATATAAAATGTTTTAAACCGGGTAGTTTTTGTTAGTATTAATCTCACGAAATTGGTAGTTGACGTTATTTATAACAGAGTTAACATTGATTAGAGTAGTACAAGTTATTGATAATGAATGGTTTGGTTCTGATGCTATATCATTGTATCTGGAGTGAGCCTTAATATTAATTTATCGTCTTTTGATATCGAAATTTAACAATTTATATTTTCAAACTTGGAATTTTGGTGTATCAAAAGATCAAGATAATTATACTTATAATATTATATCCTAGAACTAGTTGTAAACGTGGTATCTTGTATTATAATATATAAGGAATGATTATTAGGCCTATATATATGTATGTATACATATATATATATATATATATATATATATAATTATAATAATAATAATAATAAGGTAAGAACTTATATAGCGCCATTTAAAAAACCGAAGTAATTATCAGTGGCGCTTATATACATTTATATAATTGAAATCGTGATTCATTATACAATAATCCATTGAATCCGGTAGTGAATGTTAGTTATGATATAGTGTAATGTAACCGGAAATTAACGTTATGTCAGAACTTTTTAATTAAAAAAATTGTTATATGAATTTTATCGTGTTTTATGCATACTATTCATTTCGTAATAGAGTAATTTAACTATGACAGTAGTATTAGGCAGTTGTGACAATTATCAACATAGATTGATTAATATTTGTAAATCTGAGCATGACAAATTAAAAGCGGTATTACAAACGAAGCGGTCCTGTGATCATAAAGTAATGAACAATGAATTTAAAAAACTACGAAACATAAAAGTTATAATAATCATTAATTACACTTAAGATTGGATATATATGTATATATATATATATATATCCTATACATATATATGTATGTATATATATGTATGTGTGTGTGTGTGGTGTGTGTATTTCCATGTAAAACTTCAATAAAAGAATATTTATTTTTTAATATAATAATAATAATTGTCAACAGGTATAGCGCATATTGTATGCGCTTTACATTATTACCCTGCTCACTGGATCAAGCACATGGAACAACATTCATGCCCCATAATGTTGCAGCTGTAATCAGCGCATGGTTGTGTTTGAACCTACCAGGTACCCACTTGTACTTCTGGGTGAAGAGAGACAACCGTAGATAAAGTGCCTTGCCCAAGGACACAAGCGACTTGCACAGCGAGAGTTTCGAACCCTAGATCTCACGATTGGGAGTCCAAGCCACAACCGATGCGCCAACCACTTCTCTTTTAACAACTAATTGAATAAATAGACCACGTTTCCACGTTTGCGAAGTCCTAATTACAGCCTATATATAACAATATTTGTGTGGTGTGGCGACACTGTGATCACTATGTGGAGACAATGTGACCTTTGTTGAGTGTCACTGTGTTAACCCTGTGATCACTATGTGGAGACAATGTGACCTTTGTTGAGTGTCACTGTGTTAACCCTGTGATCACTGCGCTTACTCTGTTGACTTTAAGATCATGACTATCTGGTGATACTGTGATAATCGAACCAGCCAATCAATCAACAAGCCAATTAACCAATTAATCAATCAATCAATCAACAAGCCAATCATCCAACCAGCCAGTCTGCAAATAAAAGTAAACCCCACTCTAAAAGCAACTGCTGCTATACACCTGGGTGTTTTATTTATAATTAAAGAAATGGATCTCAGGGTTGTGAGTGTTGGTGGGTGTTGAGGGAGGTCCGGACGCAGTAGCAGTAGCAGCAGCAGCAGCAGTAGCAGAAGCAGTAGTAGTTATAGCAGCAATACTATTAGCAGTAGTAGTAGTAGCAGTAGTAGTAGTAGTAGTGATAGTAGTAGTAGTAGTGTTAGTAGTAATGGTAGTAGTAGTAGTAGTATATGTGTATGTATGTTTATACACATATATATACATATATACACATACTGTACATATATACATATATATATATATACATACATATATATACATATATACACATATATATATATACATATATATAAATATATATATACATATATATATATATATACATATATACATATATATATATAGGCCTATATATATATACATATATATACATATACATATATACATATATATATACATAATTATATACATATATACATATACACATATACATATATACATATATATACATATACATATATATATATAATTATATACATATATACATATACACATATACATATATACATATATATACATATACATATATATACATAATTATATACATATATACATATACACATATACATATATACATATATATACATATACATATATATATACATATAAACATATACATACATCAAGATCTGACGTCAGCAAGAAGTTATTTAGCCTTTCTCAAACAAAGCTGCATGTTGAACTAACAAACAAAGACAAATGATATACGTAATTATAATGCGCCTTTGGAAAAACATATTTCTTCAGAATGAAATACTTTTATGCAACAAATTCCATTCACTCCCCTAACTGTCCACTTATATCATAAACCTCTACATAAATATCTTCATAATTACAGTACAAAATATTTCAAAAAGTTACGTACACAACAAACCTTACAACAACCATATTTCCTTTAATATCACTGTACATGACATCACACCTTTCCTAACTGTTAAGTGAACATAACAAAAAAGGTTTATGATGATGCATACAACTACTATAACTTTAAACGTTTTTCTTTATGCTCAATACACATAACAACACTCCACACAACCTCTACCCACCGACAGCACTTAAACATTGCCAGCTATTGGCAAGTGGGCTATTGCATCATTGATGCTCTCGTTTATATACATATTCTAATGATTTTAAATAACATTCGGATTGCCAGCCTAAACTATATTTTCAGTAAACACTTCGAGATACTACGTGCTTATATCAGCCTGCAGTCCTAGAAAAACGAATTCGGTCTGCTTCTAAGATCGCGTCGTCTGCTAACAAATAAGTTTAATTGCAAATTGAGGGCGCGCTCATTCTTAACAAGGTAATGCATTAGCAGAAACCACAGTGCAGGATGTCTAGCATTCATATGTCTTCAGTCGTGATGAGCCCGGCGTTACATTTGGAACGTTTTACAGTTTCGATATTTTTATCTTGTGTTACCCGATTCCTGAAGCTCTTCTTCAATGCTTTCCGCACCTGCAATATGATTTATTATTTGATTATTTGTATCGTTTGAATTTTACCATCGAGCATAGAATTTCAAACGCACGGTCTGGCTGTCAAGGTATCCATAAAACGGAATTCTATCTCGAAATGTACTATAAAGTAAAATGCGTTCGTATTGAACGTGTACTTCGTCTATAGAACGTATGTTCGAGTTTAGATCTCTTCGAATTCTAATAAACCAACTGCGCATGCCCATATCCAAGGTCAATCAAGGTCAATCAACATAAACCTATGTCGTGTGTCTGATGTTTACATCTTGATATGGGCATGCGCAGTTCAGAACACGAAATAGCTTATAAAGTGCCTTTATTATTTCGCTTTTCGTGTCATCGCGTGAATTCAGAATAAGGATATTCGGACCTCTTACATTGCCATACAATTTTATTTTACACACACAATAAGATATTCTATAAAGCAATGCACACCCACCTCTTCGCTAAAGACGCATTGTGAGAGCCATATAAAGAGTCCTTGCATCGAGTTTAAGATAACGAATATTTGTTCAAAGGTTTTTGAATCACTGAACACGATGATCACTCCAAAAATCCACGAAAGTCCAACAGTTGGTAGAAGGAGCAATATTCCACCAAAAAGAGTTCTATAAAAAGGGTATTGTGAAGTTATTAATTTAATAATTACAAATTTAAATTTCTACTCGTGTCATACAATAGTTGACTGGTTCAACGACTATCAGGCAGTAATATCATTTCGTTTGCAGATAACGCTCAAAACCAGGCTATGGAGGGTAAAAATTTACATGATTTTTTCTAAGTCATAAAACTGGTGTTTTACCAAAACCTCGTGAATGGTTAATGAGATGCCAAATTTTTAATAATAAAAACTGGGGGTGAGGGTATGATGGAAAAAAGGGTGATTACGTGCCATTTCCCACCATTTTTTAAATGTTTAAAAATCTGTATATCATTAAACATTTGTTATCCAACAACATTGTTGTGTCTTATAAGTTACATTTAGTAGTACAACATTTCCCCCTCCAGAACCCGGCTTTACACTATACTAAAAATGAGATGACTTTCTAACCTGATTCTTTTGAGTTTTTGCAACTCGTCTTCACTTTGGTTCGGTAGCTGATGTTTCTTAAATGCTGCATACCCTATAACTAACAACTGTACGGCGACCACCTACGAAAGTGAGTGTTTTGTATGTTCTGGTGTTATTTACAGTACACGAATGACATTGTTACAAATATATCTAAGGGTAATTTTTAATTTGAAATATTTAATCTTGTTTGTGTCCTTCCATGTCTATCGGTTCTATTGTGTATTTTGTGTAATTCAATTCAATTCAATTCAATGGATATCATTTTCGTAACGGTGGCACAGTTGGACAATACCCAACGGTGCATCCAAATACGAGAAAAAATATACACTTAAAGTAGGAGTAAATTAAACTAAATGTATATGCAAAGTAAAATTTATCAACATGGCATGTAGGCCTATGTGGTACGGTAGTCTTACAGTACCGCATTATTTACAGAGTTGCAGTATGGATTGTAAGTTAATATAGAGCTAGAACTAATAGACCAAATATGGGTTCATATTTACTACAGTAACACATTTAAAGGGAATAAAAACACTAATTAATAATAAAACTACAGTAATTAAATTTCTACTTTACATTTTACAAGGTATTATAGCAAAATATAGAGCTTAGAACTAACTGGTCATAAAGGTTCATATTAACAGATTAAAAGGAAATACAAAAACTAATTAAAGTGTAACGGGTGGTAATGTGGCCATGGATTTATATATTTCAGATCTTAATTTCCATGCGCCTTCGAGAAATACCTTACAATAATTATCAAATATTTCTGCTAATTTATGGTTACCAAATTGGTCATAAAGATTATCGAGAAATAACTGATGTTTATAATCTAACGATCTGGTTATAAAGTATTCCCAAAATTCGCCTAATCCCTAGTGTAATATTGTGTCATTAGGTATAATAAGTGTAAACTGAGTTACATTACCAAAACAGTAAGGCACACTGGAAAAATAAAAACCCAGATGGCACCTGATTTAGTATTCAACCAACACCTAATTTAAAAAGAATGAATACCAGTAAAGTAACAAATTCGTGTTTTTTACGTCAAGCACTCGCAATGAACATAATTTAATATGATCAATCAATATACTGTAGGTGGGAATGAAAGGTTTGACAGGGTTTCTTATTTTTTTTTCTTGATTTCAGAAACAATTAACATCCAGCAGCAATTACATACCAATTACTTGATGCCTTAACATTCCGGCATATATCAACAGAAAGCACAACAAAATTTGGAACCTTCGATTTTCATGATAAGGATTTCCATGGTTTTTTTTTTTGTTGTTTTTTTTTTAAGATGAGGATTTAACTACCTGCTGAATATATATTTAATCACCGTTTGTGCATTGTGCATGCTTCCTGAACAAAGCAAATAGCTGTATAAGTTTACATGGGTTTACATGTAGGCGTATAGCTAAATACACTAACAAGTATAAAGTATACGCAATTGAACTGATAAAGCTCAGAGCTTACAAAATATAAAGAGTGCCAAAGTAATTAAAGATTTAAATTACTGATTAGATGCATAGTTCTCTCTTGTTATACCAGCAGTCACCCCAACGACAATGATGGGTCCAATCCAACCAACATATCGACTATTCGAGAAGCGCCTTCTATGATCAGCAAACGGATGTATAACTTTCATGTATAAATCACTTGACATAAACAACATCCACCAAAAAGCTGCCAAGAGACTGTAGTGTAGGCATCCAGCAAAAATACTGCAAGTGATCTATTAATGATTAAAGTATGTGGTATTATCAAATATCCCTTTTATTCAATAAGATATAAAAAAAATAAACATTATGATAGTTGCTAAGCAGTAGAACACATTGGAGGCATTGTATCAGAATCAACAACGTCTGATATGCTGACGGTACGGTATTTCTTGAGAATGAATGTCGCAAAAGGAATGGCGCAACATAGAAAAGAATGGAAATTCATGACAGCCGATCTGCTTCGATTGGAGGACGCCAACAGCTAACAGGTAACAGTTGATAAAAAAAAACACACACACATTAGGAAAATTAGGATAACGTTATGAAAATGAATGACAAAGGAGAGGACAGACCCCAAGCAGATTACAAAAATAACAAAAACCAAAACAAAACATAAACATAGAAAGGAAAAGAAACAGAAGACAAAACATTAGAGGTAGAGGCGCACGTATTATTTGTATGACGTGTTAATCGTATATGGGGCTCAAATCTCTTATTATTATTATTATTATTATTATTATTATTATTATTATTATTATTATTATTATTATTATTATTATTATTATTATTATTATTATTATTATTAATAATATTATTATTATTATTATTATTATTATTATTATACTTTTTTATTATTTGTCCATCTATAGCATACTTAAAATATTTATATCATTATATTTCTTTATTTGGTATAACATTGGGAGAGTAGGTACGCGGTCGATCCGCTCGAGCAAGCTTGACCTAGGAAAACAAATCGGTCGAACGATCCGCTCGATTTGGCTTTGTGAGATGCGACCGATACATTTATAAATACCTTTCTAAAGTGTACATTTTACTACAGACAGACGCACAGCCCGATACGCAGACAGACAGACAGACCCACAAACAGACAGAGATAGACGCGCGCTATTACAATACCCTCGCCTCCTCCTCCTTTGGATTCGGGTTCGGAGACGAAGGTATTGAAAAAAATGTCATTCTATAAGAAATACTGCACTTTAAAAAGAAATCAAATTCTCAAAAGAGAATGCTCAGAGGGAAAACATTATAACAATTATCTAGGATAAAATAATGAAAGTAAATGAAAAGAAGAAATTACAAACGAAAAAGGGCAAAGAAGGGAAAAGAAAACTAAACATTACAATCAAGAAAGAGAATTGCTTGATTGACGTACCGTGGATCTATTTTTCACCTTAACTTCAAGGACCAAAAAGAATAGATTGACACATATTAGAGCGATGACTAAATGCCGCATGATTTTGAAACGATCCGAGTTTCTCAGTTCTCTGAAAAAGAATAAAAATTGACTAGTACTTTGGTGCAGCTAGCGTAGTTACTAACTTTACATTTTTTAAACTGTATAACAATTAGGTATTAGAAGGAGAATGTGTCTAGGTCTAGATCATTCACATTAATTATTGACAAAATATCGAGAAAAGGTATTCAAACAAAACATTGTTTTTATTGCTGGTGTCGACATTACGATTTGATTAAATAACTTTTAAATAAGTTTTTAGTACATGGGTACTTACCTGAAAACACATATGATCACAAGCGTTATCAAGAGAAAAAAACTTGAAATTGAAACTCCTACGTTTGTAAGCATCGATCTAGATGTGTATAAGAGACAGATATATAGTTTTTGTTTCACAAAATTTGTGAGAAGGTTCTGGTTTTTGGTGATATATCGTTGGGCAGAGCGAAGGAGTTTACAAGAAAAATAGTTAGGTGCAAGGCCTTTTAGCCCTTTGAATGCTAGGTTACACTTACATATCTTAATCGTTAACATAAAGAGAACTAGAGCGTCGCACAATCAGTTTTGCCTACCTCCGCCCTGTGCGTAAATAACAGAATTTACGCAAGGCGGGCGAGCGAATCCATTGGTTTCTTCATGCTCGAGGATGGGTTTCAAGGAAATTTTACAGACGCGCGCTTTACAGACGTCAATCAATGTGGTACACACTCGTTGCTTAACTCAAAAAGAGAAAATAAAGTAATATTCGTTTGAAAACAAAAAATCTTTTAATTCGTTTGAAAAAAATTAAAATTAAAAAAATTTTAAAAATTGAAAAAAAATAATTTAAAAAAAGTAAAAATTCAATGAAATAAATATAAAAAGAAGTTTATAGGGTGAAAAAGAACATGGTCTTAAGAACCAATAATAATAATAATAATAATTTTTGTATAGCATTCGTTAACAATGTTTGTCACTGGTATTGGGAGCAGTCACAAAAGTGGGGAAGGACAGACTTCCCCCTGTAGCAAAAGTGGATGGGCCAGTGCTTTCCCGCCCCTACCTTCTCCCTCGCGTCTACTTTCGTTGATATCATCACTGAGTTAAATGATTTTCTATTGTTGTTTCATTCACGTCGAGAAAGTCATGAGGACAGGAGTCAGGACGAAATATTAATAAAATTATGTTCCTATAATACGTCAAATGTGTATGATTTTTATCTTATGAATATATACATTTACATACATTTGAATGGGAACATACGTGCTGCTTATCATTATCATCTTATTAATGCCTACTATAAATTATATATATATATATATATATATATATATGTGTGTGTGTGTGTGTGTGTGTGTGTGTGTGTGTGTGTGTGTGTGTGTAAGAACTGTTAAGAACTTTGAATGTTAAGAACTTTGAATGTTTTAATAATCTCACTTGTGTATTTATATGTAATAATTTTTATACTTTTATAGTAATAAATAAATATAATAATAATAATAATAATATTTTTATACTTGTATAGCGATAAATGAATATAATATAAATTGTAATAATTAAATGATAATCTCAATAGCAATTTCAATGAATTTTTAGAATGATTTCCTGTTTAATGTACTTTTTTTAATTTTTTCTCAATTCAGTTCTGCGAATTGCAATGAAAAAGTTTTAGTTGAATAAAGATACCTTGATATATAATTAAATAACGCAGTGCACTCTTCACAAAAGAGTAGGTGACCGTCGCCCGGTCTACTGGCTAATCACCTGCAGCAGAAGGTCCTCATTGGAAATACCTATTCGGACTTTCGTAGGTTATCCTTTGTGTTTACACGAAATAATCCAATAGCTGTACCTGAGTTAGCTTCATTAGAATGACAAATGACGTCAGATGGTTGCAAATACACGTCACGCCACTTTTGAAGTAATCATCGCCATAGATCGTTTTACAGCCCTCTGTTGACCACACACTTCTAAATAACAGTAAATTATTAGTTGTGTATTGATAGCATTTTTAATTTACAAAAACGTGCACTCATGATTTGTTCAGGGTTATGTCGTACTACACACACTAAACCTTTATTTTACAAATATAATACACTTAATATATTTGATATAAACAAACTACAAACCTATAATTTTATGTATTGATTTATAAGTAATACACTCCCAGTTCATATTACCCTATTATTCCCAACCCAACATTCTGAAATTCCTAACTATCCAACCAGGTTTTCAAAAATCAATATTTCATCAGAAAAATGTATATTTTCTCTCAGAAGAAAAATCAGTATTTTATAATGGACTAAGTTATGGAATTCCCTTGCCCCCTTTTTAAAATCTCTACCCAGTTTATCTGGTCTCGATGTATGGTAATTAAGCCTTCTACCGTATGTATTATAATAGAAACCAGGCTACCTGTTTATGTTTATGTTTTTAGTTTCTGTATTTTAATGGTGGCCACATCTTAAAGTTTCTTTAAACTTATTGTGTTTTCCATCCACATAGATTTTTTTTAATATGTTTGATCATGTGTATTTTTTAGTTATGTACGGAATGTTTTTTTTTTTTTGTTCATTATGTGGAAAATAAATAAATAAATAAATAAATCAGTTTATTTATTTTGTTTTTAATTACGAATGATAAAGGGGAAAAAATGCTTCAATTCAATAGATACATTATTATTAATTTAACGTATTTTTTTCAAAACGTGATTAAAATATTGCTTACTTTGTTGCTCTGGTAATATAATAACGTAGTGCGTTTGTGTTTGTTATTGCGTGTGTATATCCATCCATATCCAGTCATCAGCTGCTGTTATAACAATCATATAACCAAAAATATACTTACGTAGATGTTAGATTATCCTGCGCAAAGTGGCATACTGGTATTTGAATTACGTTATCATACCTTTCGTCTAAATTCTTCAAAAAGACAAAGCTCATTTTATTTTTATTTGTTTTAGTTTTTTTTTTTTTATATTATGTACACCTCATACTGATGACAAAGAAATAAACAAGCTAATTTTTATAACCTGTATACGATGAAATTTTATCATTTTGAATTGCATGTTATTTTTTTTATTTTCAAAATACAATGCATTTTTGTTATAGTACATATTATTAAAGAAGTTCTTTATTATGTTTACCTTAATAACGGGAAAGTTTATCTCACATTTTAGGCTTATTTTTGTTTGATTTTCGTCGAAAATGTTAATGGTCACTATGTCAGATACACTCGGCAACACTCCTCTGTTTAAAAAAAAATGTACTAAATACCTTTTTGCACAAATGTTTTAATTTCTTTTCTATGTTCACATTAGACTGCTATTTTACCATGTTTAAACATAACTTGCAAATTGCGCATAACTTACGCAGAAACAAGAAGTGTGTTCGTTTGAGGAACGATTAGGCTTGCAGAAATTTCAAAGAATTGTTCTATTGAGAAAAACAAAACAGTTTTAGTCTTCAAATTATGTATTGAAAAAAATATGTTTAATTAAGTATATAACATTTTTTTAATTTATTTTCTTTATTTTTATTTTATTTATTTTTTGTTCGAAAGTTTCAAGGAATTGTTCTATTGAAAAAAAAAAGTTTTAGTCTCAAATTATGTATTGAAAAAAAAATCTTTAAATTAAGTATATTACATTTTTTTAATTTATTTTATTAATTTTTATTTTATTTATTTTTTGTTCGGAATGTTTGATATTAATTAGTTAAAGACCAACATAAAACATCTAGTTACATTACTGTTTTTAATGAACTAGATTCATTTTCCCTGAGAATTACTTTCAATAGCAATTCTACGAAGCTAAATATACTAATAATGGACATGCCTCCTATGAATGTAGCATCGGTTGATGTCGAGAATGTGACACTATTCGGTTCAGATGTCAAAGGAATGTTTGTTACTTCCGGTGTTTTTGCTTTCAGAGTGAAACCATCTGCATAGAAATATTGATACAGAAATTAGTCTATACATAATGTTGAGATAATATCAAATTTTGATTTGAACATAATATTATTTAGTTAAATGTAATGAGATCCAATAAAAAGTGTTTATGTTGCTATACATTGTTAGTTATCAATTGCAATCTTCCGATCCGTAATAACCAATCATTTATAAGGCGCCAATTCCAAATTGAATGATTAAAGGTGCGAGCGTTACTACCCCTAGTCAGTGGCGGCGCCAGTGCGGGAGAGGGCAGGTCCCCCGTATCGGTCTGGTCAAGACCGCCCCACTCCCCCCCCACCCCATCGGCCAAAGCTTATCAGGCAGTCGGACAAAAAAAATTAATTAATTTATTAAGTAATCAATCAATCAATCAATCAATCAATCAATCAATCAATCAATCAATCAATCAATCAATCAATCAATCAATCAATCAATCAATCAATCAATCAATCAATCAATCAATC